TGTTTGACTCTGTCTCAAACTTCACATCCATCACCACCTCTCTGAATATATACGTACGTATATCAGAGTTTGACTACATCTCTTGGCCTCCACTGCTACACTAGTTCACGTTACCATCAACTTTTACCTCAATTATGGCAAGAGATTCCTCCCTGACCTTTGTTTCTGCCCTTTCTCCCCTTCAGTCTACTCTCAACCCAGTGATCAGTGTGATCCTATTAAATCGAAGGTCCCATCTCATTCTGCCCAGTGTCCTTACCTCCAAGACACCATTAGGATATGGCTTCTCATGACTTGTTTGGCTTCACCTCTTACTTGTCTTCCCCTTGTTCGCTCTGGCCTCAACAATGCTGGGCACACTTCCTTCTGAGGGCCTTTGTGAGTCCCTTTGACTGTTCTCCGTTATCCACATACCTGATACCTCACTCCCTCACCTGTTTTAGAGTTTTATTCAAATGCTTCCTTCTCAGTAAGGCCTACCCTGACCACTCTACTTAAAATTGCAACCCCTTAACTTTCCCTAACTTCCTTCATTTTTCTTGTGTATTTATTATCGACTAATATACTATATATTTTTCTTATTTACATTGTCTATTTTTTCTTACCCCCACAGGAGGTACACTTCATATATGCAGGGATTTTTGTCTGATTGTTCTTTGCTCCATCTATAGCACCTAGAAGAACACCTAATCATAATACATACTTATTAAAAACTGTTGAATGCATGAACAAATGAATAAATAAACAAACTGCCAATCCTGGCTCTGTCTTTTACTAAGCTTATTTCATCCATCGATGCAAATATGCTGTATATGAAAGGAAATTATTACTACTTCTATGATAGCTTCTTTTTCTTTCTTGTTTTTAAGATTTTAATAATAGTTTTATTGAGATAATTCGCATACCGTACAATTCATCTACTTAAAATATACAGTTCATTGATTTTCAGTATATTTAGGGTTGTGCAGTTATCACCACAGTCAGTTTTAGACCGTTTTCATCACCACAAAAGAAACCCTGTAGTCAGTAATAATCAAGTAATAATCACTACCCATTCGCTAATCTTTAACCCCCTCCAGTCCTAGGTTACCACTAATCTACTTTTATCTCTCTAGATTTGCCTATTCTGGATATTTCATATAAGTGAAATCATGTAATATGTGCTCTTTTGTGACTGGCTTCTTTCACTTAGCATGTTTTCGAAGTTGATCCATGTTGTAGCATGTATGAGCACTTATTTTTTATTGCCAGGTAATATTTCATTTTATGAATATACCACTTCTTTCACATTTTGTTTACCCATTCATCAGTTGATGAACATTTGTGTACATGTGTTGTATGGACACATGTTCTAAATTTTCATGGGTATATACCTGGTAGTGGAATTGCTGGGTCATATGGTACCTCTGTATTTACCCTTTTAAGGCACTGACAGACCATTTTCCAAAGCAGTTGCACCATTTCACAATTCCACTAGCAATATATGAGGGTTCCAGTTTCTCCACATCCTTGCCAACACTTGTTACCTGTTTTTTTGATTCTAGTCATCCTAGTGGGTATAAAGTGGTATCTCACTGTAATTTTTATTATTATTTCCCTGATACTTAATCATGTTGAGTATCTTTTCATGTGCTTATTAGTCAGTTGTATATCTTCATTGGAGAACTGTCTATTCAGATCCTTTGCTCCTTTTAAAATTGGGTTAGGGACTTCCCCGGCAGTGGTTAAGACTCCGAGCTCCCAATGCAGGGGGCCTGGGTTCGATCCCTGGTCAGGGACTAGATCCCACATGCCACAACTAAAGATTTGGCACAGCCAAATAAATAAATAAATATTTTTTAAAAAATTGGGTTATTTGTCTTTTTAATGTCTAGTTGTAATAATTCCTTACGTATTCTGAATACTAGATCCTTATCAGATATATGTTTTGCAAATATTTTCTGTCATTCTTTGGCTTATCTTTCTTGTTCATGATAGCATTCTTTGAAGCACAGCAATTTCACACTTTGATGAAATCAGTTTATGTGTTTTTATGTATTTGCTTATGCTTTTGGTGTCATATCTAAGAAACTGTTGCTTAATCCAGAGTCAAGATTTATACCTATATTTTCTTCTAAGTGTTTTATAGTTTTAGCTCTTGAATTTAGATCCACCTTGGGTTAACTTTTGTTTGTTTGTTTATTTTTTTGTTTCTTTGCTTTTTTTTTTTTGCGGTACGCGGGCCTCTCACTGTTGTGGCCTCTCCCGTTGCGGAGCACAGGCTCCGGACGCGCAGGCTCAGCGGCCATGGCTCACGGGCCCAGCCGCTCCGCAGCATGTGGGATCTTCCCAGACCGGGGCACGAACCCGTGTCCCCTGCATCGGCAGGCGGACTCTCAACTGCTGCGCCACCAGGGAAGCCCTGAGTTAACCTTTATATATGATCTGAGGTAGGGGTTCGGTTTCTTCCTTTTGCATGTGGATATCCAGTTGTCCCAGCATCATTTGTTAAAAAGACTATTTTTACCCCCATTAAATTGTCTTGGCACCCTTGTTGAAATCAATGACTGTAAATTTGAGGATTTATTTCTGGACTCTGAGTTCTATTCCATTCATTATGATAACTTATACATTGCTGTGAGAAGTTTGAGTCAGATGGTTCCCTTTGAGTTGCATTCATGTTGCCTAGGCTGTGTTCTTGTTAACTGGGCGCCTTATAGTAATAGTGATTTTCTGGAAGGCTGTTTACTTGGGAGAAGCTTTCTAGAAAGGCACGTTTTAAAGTTTCTCAATTCCCTGCTTAATTGATGTTTTCTTTGCCTTCATGGAGTTGTAAAGGTCAAAATCTCTAATCGTGACTTTCTTTTTCTTTTGTCTTCTTGGCTGTCCTTATAGCTTTCCATTTGGAATTCATATTTTCCTCTTAGGGAGCTGTTTTGAGCCCCCATGGAATTTGAGAGCAAGGTCAAGTGAGTTGCATACATTTGTGCAAAATCTGGAGTTTCAGCACTGCATGGGCTTTATTATAATAAAGCCCTCTTCTAATCAAGTATATCCATAGTTGACTAGGAGATTCTGGCATGTAGCCTGAAGGTAATAGGGCCAGCTGGCAGTCTTCTTATGGCTTGAATGCCATATTGGACCACACAGGTACCTTTTCATCCCAGGCTATTAATCTTAGAAGTTCAGTTTCTAATCTTAGAAGTTGGAAACTCTTTTGGTGGAACAGGAAAGTGGAAAATCAGTTCTTTATTGATGCTGTGTAAAGATTGCCAGGAATATCTATAGAATATACAGGTAATTCAGTTTGTCTGCTTTTCCTAGTCAGTTAACCGGGTGATAGTGAACCTCTATCCAGGCATGTATCCTCTTAAACTCCTAAAATACAGATTTAACTTAATCATCATTCCAGTACCTGTACTATGTAGATATTCATCCATGTAATCTCTCTCAAAATACCACTTTCCTATTAGTTTAACAGTTATTATGCTCTAGTTCTTTCAAGACACATACCAGTTGGATAATAAACACATAATTTTTCTTCAGAATTGTAAAATAGAATAATCAATTATTCTGTGCTTGCCATTGATTTAACAAATATTTGTACACCTTCAGTGTGCTGGGAAGAATGCGAGGTGTTATCTCTGTCAGTGTATTGGGAACCCTCGGCACAGTGTTTGGCTAGCATTTATAGGTGAAATCACTCACCTTTGTGATTGGCTTAGGACCTTCTTCCAGGTTTTCCCCCTACAGGTTAGTCCATGATTGGACTTAGCCAAACATGCTAACAATCAGAAGCTTTTATTCATCCATTTATTCAATAAATGTTGATAGAAAGCCTCCTGTTATGCCATATGCTGTGATTGCTGCTGGCGATACAGAGGTGAAGACTGACAGCCTCAGTCACTACGCATGGGCTAGGCATCATAAAATGATGTTGCTTATCAACACTAAAATGATTGCAACAAATCACTCTTATGTGACACATGGTACTATGAGAACATCTAATAGTCATCCATTCGTTAAACCAAAAATCCCTAAGTGCCTACTGTGTGCTAGCACAGTTTGACTTGCGAAGATCAGGAACAGCTTCTGAGGGGATGCGACAGTTAAGCTGAGATCTAGAGAGGAGTGAGCCAGGTGAAGGGATAGTGGAAGCGCCTTCCTGGCCGAGAGCACAGAGGAAGAGGAAGAAAGCTAGTATGAAAAGAGGCCAAGACGGGCAAAACCAGACTGAGGTCGGACCTTGGGGGCTGTGTTGAAGACTTTGCCCTTTGTCCTAAGAGCAGAAGGAAACCACTGAAATGTTTGAACTAGAAGCCACCTTTTTACACAAGCCTGTGACCTAGGTCTTAATTAGACAAGGTTAGCTCTTACACAGATTTGATTTTGAGATAGGAAATGTTAAAACTTTAAAGTTCTGTCTTATGCAGAGTGTGCTTTAGAATTACCTGGAGGACTTGTTAAAATAGCTTTCTGGGCCCCACTGCCAAGAGATGCTGTAGGTCTAGATGGTGTTCAAACTTTTGAATTTCTAGTAACTTCCCAGAAGATACTGCCGCTGCTGGTCCTACTCCTGGACCAGATTTTGAGTTGCAGTTAGTTAGAGCCACAGAATTAACTCACCTTTCATTTGTTATTGTTTCCCTCACGGGTAACCAGCAAAGGATCATTTTTAGTCATATAGTAACAAGAAATATTTGCTTCAGAAGCTATCAATATATTTTATAGAAGCTACTTCAGGGCTATAAATTATACTTATCTGTGTGCCGTCCATGTGTGTGATACGTGATTCTATGAGGCGATGTGGTGTATTCAATATTGGGCAGACATAGCCCCAGAAGTCCAGATACTTAAAGAAATTGTGATTGCCAAAACCTTATAAAAAGTTAAAGTACTATCTTGATAGCTGTTAAGATTTTGAAATTTAGAACAATATGATATGGGTTTGGAAACAGTTGGTGTTTTAGCAAGAATAAACCTATTATTATTGAATCCGTTTTTGTTTTTTTTTTTCCTAGATCTAATTACTTGTTTAGACACTGCATCCAGTTTTTTGGAACCTGAGTTCAGGTATGACCATATTTGTGACTTTTTTTTCTTAAATGTTACTCTTCATCTACTTCATCCTCATCTTATGTACTTAAGATTAATGTACATGGTGTGACTCATAATCATTGTTCTGAGACATCAGTAAACCAGAGCTTATGTAAAACCACTGAGTTGCCATGTTTAAATTTTGCCTTAACTTTTAGCATTTGAATCTTCTCCACAATGGAAGTATAATTTGGATATACTTTAAAAGTAGGATTAGTCACTCTTCAAATCTGGCAAAACTCCTAATAAAGGTAGAAGATCCATTTATCTTTGCTCAAAAAGAAGTAACAGGAGGGTTTAGGCTGTTAGAGAATTCCTCACTGTTCTTACCCAGGTGGCATTTTTATTAATACTACCATTTCCCTGCTTTACACCCTTGTCTCTTGCTTGGACTAGGATTCACTTGTAATTGGTTTCCCTTTTCTAACCTTTGCTGGCTTTTTTCTGCCATTCACATTCTGCCAAGTTATTTTCTAAAATCTGTATTCGATCACTCCCCTGCTTTGAAATCTTCAGGAGCTACTTATTATGACAAAATGCCATCCCTATTCATTAGCCTGGTTTTCAGGGTCCTTCACAAGTAGTCTTTGGGCCATTTTTCTAGTCTCACGTTAACGTACTCATGTTGAAACATCCCTGGATTATTTATACTGCTCTGAGCTCTCAGAACTTTTGTCTGGAATCACTTTATTCTTCTCTGTTTAGCAAATTCATTCTCATCTTTGAAGACCCATCTCACTCACCTCCCCCAACTTGCTACTGCTCCCCAAAGAACCTTCATTTTGTCTTCAGGAATGGTTCTCTCTCTGTGGGCTGGTGGGGCTCTTCAGCCCTCGTCGGGGGTTGTGGCCAGCAGAGGTAACCCTGGCATCGGTGTATGTCACACGGCCCTGCCAGAGGATCAGCTGTCTTGGACCCTCCACTCTCCAGCTCCGTCATCACCACCCACATGCAAGCTGCCGTCCTTTCTCGCCTGGACTGCCTAACAGTGTCTTATCCTCCACTCATGGCCCTTACAGTCTCTTTTCTTTCCAGGAGCCAGAATAACTTTTTAAAAAAAAATAAAAATCAGATGATATGTATAGACCATCAAAATCCTTTGTTGACGTCCTCTTTTTACTTAGAAATATACTCCAAGACTCCTCACCACAGCCCCCCTGGCTTCTGCATGATCTGATCCCTGTCCCCCCTTCCAAGCTTCTCTCAGACTAACCTTACCTTTCTCACTGCACTCTACCTGTACTGGTTGTCCTCGGTTCCAGACACACACAGGCCATCCTGCCTCAGGGACACGCTTTTCCTTCTGGTTGCGGTGCACATCCCTGCACTGTTCCAGTGACAGCCGGTGGTTCTCTGCTGAGGCTTCCCTTCGTCAGAGCCCCGTCCACTGACCGAGGCAGTGCAGAGCCCTGCATATGAACACAAACTCTGGAGCCCGTCTACCACGACACAACTGCGTGACCTGGGCACACAGCTCATCAGTTTCCTCATCTGTAAAATGAGGATAATAATAATACCTACCATGTAGGGTTCTTATGTGGATGACTTGAAGTGTACTTAGAATGTTGCCTGGGACATAGTAAGTTTGCTGAATGTATTACTTCTATTGTTAGATTCCTCCCGGTTATTTCATAGAGTGCCTTTTCTTTATAGCATAATCATAATCTAAATTTAATTATAATCTAATTAATCTAAAGTATCCATTTAATGTATTCTCCCACCACGGGAATGTAAACCCAGTGAGGCTGGTACCATATCTGCTTGGTTGACCCGGTACCTAGCACAGCCCAGCACTTAACAGACAATGTAATAGACATTCATGTAAATGTGTTAAGTGGGTAGGTGGATGGGTGAGTGAGTAAATAAATGAATGCCAAACATTTTTTTTAAATCGACTTAAATTTGATCAGTAGAGAGCTGGTGAAATAAATTGAGCCTCATCCACAAAGTCCAATGTAGCTATTAAATATATGAATAGCTCTTACAGTAGAAATATGTCCGCCATTCATTATGAAGCAAAATAAAGCAGTATGTAGAATATGGAATAATTTTTGTATATATGTCTGTGAAGACGTGTAAATGGTTGGAAGAAAATCTTAAGGGCTTTTTAGAAGTGGTGGTTCTCTCAGAGTGGTGAGATTATGGTATTTACATTGAACTGAAAACTGGGTAAGTGACATTTTTTGGTCTTTTTCCCCAGAAAGTAACAGCACTATATACCCTTTAACTTGTTTTTATTTCACAGCAAATACTGCCCCGCTGGTTGTCTGCTTCCTTTTGCTGAGATATCTGGAACAATCCCTCATGGATATAGAGATGTAAGCTGGATATAGACTTATGTTAAAGTGATGATAAAACTTCATTTTTTTAAACTCCTTCATAGATAGATGTGTAATCTATTGTGTATCTTTATCTTGATTTTTATTTTCTAGGAATTACTTCTTTTTAGTAATATGTAACATTTTGTTGTTTTTCTTCTGCTAAAAACCTGTTCTGTGTTGTATTATCAATAATCTATCCCATGTTTATTAAGAAAACTGCCCAGATCAATTAATTTCTAGAGGAAGAAGTATAAGTGTCTTGTTTATGAATTATCAAAAGAAAATTTAAAACTAATCTTTTATCTTTCCTCCCTGAAGTCCTCACCATTGTGCATGGCTGGTGTGCATGCAGGCGTAGTGTCAAACATTTTGGGTGGCCGGATTAGTGTCGTAATTAGTAAAGGCATCCCGTACTATGAAAGTTCTTTGGCTAACAACGTAACGTCTGTGGTGTAAGTATATATGCTGTTTATAATAAGCGTGTTGCACGGGGTGGGATAGGGATGAGTTAGACCTGAGCAGTATCATTGTTGATGGTGTTCATGAAATAACCTTTGTGTGATAAGGACAGACGTTGATGGTGTTCATGAAATAACCTTTGTGTGCTCGATATCTGAGTGTATTGACGAGCGCAGGCAAGGTCTTGCTATCTTGGCTTGTTCTCTGTTGGTAGTCATTTGGAAGAGTGATTTGTTTCTTCTTTTCTAAGTGTTGAAAGAGCCCAGAGTGAGTCTAGAAGTATATTGCCAAATCCTTACTTCGTTTTAAAGATCAGAAGGCATAACTAACTACTCTGTTCCTTATAGCCTGTGTGGCCCATGATGGATTAGGATAATTGAAACGCTTTGAATATAAATCAAATTTTGGCATAAATCAGAGATAGTATTATGAATCCCTCTCATCCCAAGAGAATATTTTAAGAATGTATTTTCATGGTATTTATGATCTACTGTATTACAAAACATAGACTAGGCATCAAAAGCAGGAGAAATTGAAACATTGAATAGAACCATAGTATGAGTGATCTATTTGTAAATCTTGCATCTTAGACATGCTCGGTCCTGCAGACAATAAGCGGAATTGAAGCCAGCTTCTCTTCAGGTCCTAGGCCAGTTTCATTCAGAAGGCCAAGAGTGTGATCCATACTCAAGACAGTATAAAGCAGGAGGCAGCAAACTTTTTCTGTAGAGAGCCAGCTAACAAATATTTCAGACTTTATGGGCCACATGTCTGTCACTCATTCTTTTTTGTTTTATTTACAACTTTTTAACTATGTAGAAACTGTTCTAAGCTTTCTGGCCATACAAAACAGGCCATGCATGGGCTGTCATTTCCTCATCCCTGCTCTAGAGTCAGCTACCTTTCCTTCCTCTGGTTTCTTCTGGATGATTTTATGCAGATTGTTTCATTCCTTTCCACTGTTACACCTTTAGAAAGAATTTTTTTCATGTGTTCTCTCTTTCATATTTAAAAAAACAGACAGGTTGCATCCATTTGTGATGGTTTGAGCGTTGTGCTAAAGGCAGGAGCATACACTGATGATTTTGATGATTTTATCCCTCCAAGTTCCTTAGGGCCTTTTGACCTGCCATATGGTGAACTAATAACTAACAATCCCACCCCTCCACTCTCCCTAGGCACCTATTCTGCCGGTTACTTTGAAATTCAAATGCAGTGCTACGTTGTAACACTGAAACTTTTTCTTAGATACATTGATTTCCTGTAACAAATGCAGTCTCTCTTAGTAGTAGCCAGCTTTTCTTCTGTTTGCCCCAGGAAGCTTGAGCCTCTTTCTATGAGAATTACACTTTTCATTATATATTCCCAAAAAGCAATTGCCACAGAAACACTTTAGGAATCAATTTATTTCATGAAAAAGAAATAAAATAAGTACATATTGAAGGTTGCATGGATGCACTTGCATAATCATATATGAAACTAGGCACTAGATACTTGTAGAGAAAATTGATTATGCTGTCTAATAGATAGCCATAGATGGTGCTTAGTGAAATAAAAACAAAAGAAAGCTTTGCTAAGACAAATATGAGGAAGTCATGTGGTTATATGAGTGTCACCAAAAAAGTCTTTCTCTCTTTCAGGGGACACTTATCTACAAGTCTTTTTACATTTAAGACAAGTGGTAAGCCTCTCATGGACTTTATAACTTATCATAATTTGTATAATAGCTAGTATTTTTTGAACACTGTACATCAGGCACTTTGCCAATTGCTAGGTTGGGTTTTGGGTTTTGGGGTTTTTTTGCACTTTCTCATTCAGTTATCACGAATAACTCTATGAGGTAAAAGACGTGCTTAATAATTTAATGAATGGAATAAACTGGAGGTTTTATATTAATAGGGAAACGATCATGTAAGCATGGAAGTTACCTTAGAAAAAGGGAATTTTGAATATGTCTGAAGTAATTAACTCAATCAACAGAAAATATTGAGTGCCTTTTTTCATTTGTCAGGCACTGTTCTGGTGCTAGTGAAACAAAAGTGAGCAGAATAAACAAAATTGTGCTTTCCTGGAGCTTACATTCTGGAAGTGAGAGATTGACAATAAACAGCGGATAAGTAAATGAATGTTTATAACGTCCTGTTTACAATATTATAAAAGATGTAGAAAATAAGGCAAGGAAAGACGACAGGCAGTTCAGAAGGGACAGGTTCGAAGTTTAATGTTGGTTGGGGCAGGCCTCATGGAGAATGTGACATCTGAGCAAACACCTGGAGGAGGTAAGGGAGCGAGTTGCCCTCTGGGGAGAGTATCCCAGGGAGAGGGTAATGTGTTGCCATTCAGCTAGTGATTACTGCTGTGAATAAATATGTCTGTACGTTCTCTGATGAGACACGAAGACATAGACCCAAGAAACATTTGCATACTTTTGAAACCCTCTAGTACAGTATATTGTCAGCATAGTGTATGTTAATTAAAGGAACAATTAGAGTTTCCAATGAGCAAGTGTTTAGAGATTTTTGAGTTTATATCTGGAAACCAAATTACTTTCTTCTTTGTTTCAGGTTGTTATGGAACACTGGGCATGGAATCTGGCGTGATCGCCGATGCTCAAATAACGGCATCATCTGTGCTGGAGTGGACGGACCACACAGGGCAAGAGAACAGCTGGAAACCCGAAAAGGCCAGGCTGAAAAAACCTGGACCTCCTTGGGCCGCTTTTGCCACTGATGAATATCAGTGGTTGCAAATAGATCTGAATAAGGAAAAGAAGATCACAGGTTAAGAGACACAATTTTCTAGATGATTTATAATACTAATTTCATTTGGAAACCTGGTGACATCTAAGAATTTCATAGAAAATTAGGTCACTGCAAATTTAATTATATGGTTTTAAGTTTAGTGTACTGGTGTTAATATTGACCGAAGTTGGTTTTATAAAGCATGGCAAAGGAGAGGAGTTGGTATTTGATTCTTACTAGCATTTCTTTTCATTGTAAAGAGATTCTTTGAAGGTCGTGTTTCAGTAAAGGGATCTTGTGACATCTGAAATAACCATCTCCTATAGTCATTAAGAGAAATTTGTGTTCAAGGAGTCCATTTTAAGTGTTACAAATAATATTCCACATGTGCCAAGTATAAATTTAATTATTTAGAGCAACTTAACAAATGGTCAGAATAATTGGTTAGGATTGGTTTAGATAATTTTGTTAGATTTATTTTGCTCTGGTTCTAAAAATAACACCAGTAATCTTCTTTAATCTATTCATTCCCAGGAAGTCATTCTTTCTCAGTAGGTGAACTATATTTTGCAGTGTCGTGAACACAAGCTGCTAAAATACAATAGTCCTTTCCTTACGTGTGCCTGTCATTCTTCTTGTCTCTACAAGGGAGCAAAGCCGAGGATTTAGTTACCATTAGGATGAAAACGTGCACTTAGATATGGTAATGTGCCAGAGACAAAAATGTTTCAACAGTACATTTTAGGTGTTAATGCTTCAATGATGAACAAACTTCAAAGATCAGACCGTGAGCACTAACAAAAGGACCTCTCCATTCCCAGGCATTGTAACCACCGGCTCCACCATGGTGGAGCACAATTACTATGTGTCAGCCTACAGAATTCTGTACAGTGATGATGGGCAGAGATGGACTGTGTACAGAGAGCCTGGTGTGGAGCAGGATAAGGTAAAATGATTACCAGAGTATTTTTAAAGAACATTAAAAAGGGGGATGGGGGGTAGGTGGCCTTTGCCAAAAGCCACAGAAGCTCTTCCTGTGTGATATAAAAATTAAATATCATTTGGTCTTACTCTGCCCTCTTCTGGTTATTTTAGGTAGTGTTAGTTATTGGCCTTACCCTTCTACCTGTGGTTAGGAAATTCTCAGTGCTTCTAGGTCCCTTTTGATGATTGTAAGGGTAAGTACTTGCCTGATTTTTTTTTTTTCAGTACAGTTTAATTCACTTCTTTAAATAATTCATTAAGAAATAATAAAAAGGAACTTTAATTTTTTGTCCTTAAAAAGATTTTCTTATCAATCCACAGAATGATGTAGAGCCTAACTTGTTCCTAGATTTCTACTGTAGGCCAGCGGGGGTGGGGACAAAAGAGCTAAAGGTAGAAGGGCATTAAATTGTAGGATATTATAGAAAGGTCATGTCAAGATCACCTCACCAACTTTTGTCGTAGAAAACAACTTTTTTTCCACCTGAAGAATTTCCTTAACTTCTCTGGTAATAATGAACTGTTGTTCTAGTTAGCAAAAAATGACAATGCTTAGGGGTAGAGAGCAAGTAGGTAGAGGTGGCTATCAACTAGAGGTTTGTTACTTTCACCTGGGCTCCTGGACACTGATCCACCCACCACAAGGGGTCTCTGTCCCCAAGGAAGGTGGATGCCTCTCATCTAGAACTGAAATTATGAGCACATTTTTTTCAATGAAACCTCCCTGTGAGTTTTGTTTCAATTTTATGATACTATCAGTTCTCTATCATATACATGATATGCTAATATATTTTCACTTGCCACTTTTCTCATCTCTCTGTTCAAAAAACTCCAGGGATTCCCTTTAATCTTTCATATGGATCTAAACTCTTCAGCTGTTACTCAAGGCCTTCTTTCCTCTCTTCTGCTTGATATCACATGAACTTCAATCTTTGGTGAGCCTCCACCCCTTGAAGCAGATAAAAATATTGTCTCTGAATCTAACTTACTTCTGCCTAATGCCCCCAAACTTACTTTTTACTATTAGCACATACATATTTATTTGTACAATAATATTTGTTATACTTGTAGAATATAGTTAATTTTTTGAAATTATAAGTATTATCCATGCTTATATTATTAAAACATCTAACAACACTGAATTATATTTCTGAAAAACTTTTTTTGGCTTCCTTTTTGAAAGATAATTTCACTGGGTGTAGAATACTAGGTTGACAGTTTTTTCTTTCAATACTTTAAATATGCTGGTCCATTGCTTTCTAGTCTGCATTGTTTTCAGCAAGAATTTATTTTAAGCAATTTTTTTTTTTTTTTTTTTTGCGATATGAGGGCCTCTCACTGTTGTGGCCTCTCGCATTGCAGAGCACAGGCTCTGGACGCACAGGCTCAGTGGCCATGGCTCACGGGCCCAGCCGCTCCACGGCATGTGGGATCTTCCCGGACCAGGGCACGAACCTGTGTCCCCTGCATCGGCAGGCGGACTCTCAACCACTGCGCCACCAGGGAAGCCCTATTTTAAGCAATTTGATTATGATGTACCTTTGTGTAGTTGTCTTCATGTTTCTTCTGCTTGGATTTCTTTGAGCGTCTTGGATCTGTGGGTTATAATTTCTATCAGATTTGGAAAATTATAGGCCCTTTTTTCTTGAATATGTTGCCTCCTCAGTTCTAACTACGTGAAGATTATGAATCTTGAAGATGTATCAGTTCACTGATGCTCTGTTTATTTTTTTCAAGTCTTTTTCTTTCCATGTTCCAGTTTGGAAAATTTGTATTGTTTTATCTTTAAGTTCATTAATCTATTCCTCTTCAGTGTCTGATCTGCTATTAATCCTATCTGGTGTATTTTATCTCCAACATTGTATTTTTCACTTCTAGATATTTAGTTTTTGGCTTTTAAAATTTCTTCCATGTCTCTCCTTAACATGCTCATCCTTTTCTTTACGTCTAAAACATACGGAGTATATAATAACCCTTTTAATGCCCTTGTCTACTAATACTATATACTAACGTGTCATATCTGGACCTTTATATATTGTTAGATATTATGGGTCCTATTTTACATGCCTGGTAATTTTTGATTGGTTACCAGACATTGTGAACTTCATATTGCTTGGTGTTCGATTTCTTTTTTTTATTATTACTCCTTTAAATATTTTTGAGCTTTATTCTGGGATGCAGTTAGGTTCCTTGGAAATCATGTGATCTTTTCAAAGCTTACATTTTAGGTTTGTTAGGCAGCACCTGAGCAGTTTTAGTTCTAATTTTTCCCCACTACTGAGACAATACTGTTCTAAGAACTCAATCCAATGTCCCATGTATATGAGGTTTCTCCAGTCTCTGTTGGCAACATAAGCTGGCCCAGCCCTGTATGGCCCTGAGAATTGTTCTCCTGTTCCTTTCTAGTGGTTTTTTTTCCATCCACAGATAGTTTAGTTAAAGGTGTAAGGGGAAACCCCAACAGACCCTAGAAGTCTCTGTGTAATTCTTGTCTCTCCCACACTCTGCCCTGCAAATTCTAGCTGCCTTAGCCTCTCCATCTCTGAGCTCTCCCTCAATTCAGGGAGACCACCACGCTCTTTCCAGGCAATACTGGTGCAATAGAAGGGCTCACCTCATTTGTTTTCCTCCACTTGGGGAGTATTGCCCTTTGCTGCCTGTTGTCCAGCCTCTGAAAACCATTGTTTCATATATTTTATCTGATTTTTCAGATCTTTAAGGCAGAAGGATAAATCCAGTCCCTGTTAGTCTGTCGTGGGTAGAAGTGGAAGTCCTTACATTGAATTATATGAAATAACAGTCTTTTTTGCCTCACTTATGTTTGTCCATCTGCTCTCTCATCTACTCCCAACTCAGGGATAATTGATGTATTCATTTTCATACCCTTTCTAAGCACGCACACATACATGAGCACATACACAAAGATTCAGGCTGCTTTTGGTTTTGTTTTCAGAAAATGGGAATGTATATACAAGTTGTTTTCATAATATATTGCTTTTTAATAGTATGCCATTTTTGTGTTTGGTAATATCCAATAAAATGTAAGTTCCTTGAGGGTGAAAACTTTGACTTCCATTTCCATTTCACCCTCGTGGCACCTTGTGAGCCTCCACGTTACACGGGGTGGGTCATAATAAATGCTTGTACATTAAATGTAAATCCTTTTTACTTAGTTTTTATGAAATCTTTTTCCTTTAAGTTTTTTATGAAGATGAGATGGCAGTATGGAGTAAAATTTCAGGGATAGTTTTTTATGTCCTAAGATGATGATGTTTAGTTATTGTTCCTGTTCCACTAATATAATAGACTGCAAGGAATCACCTTCATTTTACTTGAGAGTAATATCTGAGGAAATAATGGAAGCTTACTAGTTCAGAGATTATTGTAACTTCAGACCTCTTTAAAAATGAAGGATATTAAATCATCTTAGAAGGTTATAGTCGAATGCCATGTGAATCAGCCAGGAAGAAAATAGCTATAATATTTGGAAATAACTTGATTGAGGAGTTAAACATTTACTTGTTCTCACATTAACTGAGAAAAAACCACTTGGATTTTAGGCAGGTATCTGTTTATTGATGGTCTTTAGAAACTGCCTAGGTAATTTGGCCTGAAGAAATGAGGAGGGCTCCTTTTTGCTTAGTGGAGCCCTATGGTTAAGTCAGAAGACACAGATTCAAATCACTGCTGTAAACTGACTGGCTATGTAGTCCACTTACATTGTATAAACCGCAGTGTTCTGGGTTCTGCCTATTTTGTAGGCTTGTCATGAAGAACATCTGAGTTAATTATATGAAGATGCTTTGTAAATAATGAAGAGCTGTTCCAGTGTGAGATACTATTATTATTTGCTTGAAATAGTTGAGGGAATGAAATAGTCACCTGAAATTATGTTTTTGCCTAAGGATTATTCATGTGATGCATTTGTGGCTATTTAGTTATGATTATTAAATTAGGCAGTGGGCAGCGTCACTTTTCTGGTTCAAATAGCAGGAAATGAAAATGTATGATATGGGAACTGTGTTTATATAGTTTCTCCAGTAGGCGGAGCTATGTATCTGTTATGTGTTTGTTAGTGTATGTTCACTTTCAGTCTATTTATTGAGAGAAAAATTATGAAAGGTACACAGTACAGCATTTCCTCTAAGACCTCAAATGTTCAATTATGCTTTACTTTGAAAATAAAATTAATATATTTAAATAGTTGGTGATTCCACAGGACTAGAGTTACTAATTCATTAATACAAGGTACTGTGCACTGCAACCGAAACCTTCTTCCCAAATTGCCAAGTTAGAACTTTTGTTATGTTTAAGTCATCTTAAAATCATTTCTATATTCAGTATTTTCCTCCTATGAAATTTTTATGAAGAGTGTGCAGCTTAATAGTTTTACCAAATTATGATTAATTTATTTTCTTAGAAATTAATGCTTAATGTCACATTTTACAGAACTCATTTAAGGTCCAGAGCAAAAACCAAAAACATGTTTCAGTGGAGCAGTTTAGCCCTGGCCTCTGTTGATGTAAAGTACCAATTTTTGTTGTTTTTTAAAGATATTTCAAGGAAACAAAGATTATCACCAGGATGTGCGTAATAACTTTTTGCCACCAATTATTGCACGTTTTATTAGAGTGAATCCTACCCAATGGCAGCAGAAAATTGCCATGAAAGTGGAACTGCTTGGATGTCAGTTTATTCCTAAAGGTAAAGCAACAGTATGTTTAAGGCATGTGGTTTTCACTGGATTAATTAAAAATGACTGTGCTGTTCTCTGAGAAATTAATTAATAATAATGTAAGTGTTTATACTCTATAGTATGTTCTTAAAGGGATTTTTAAAAAGAAATAGTTATCCCTGTTAAATATCATATTAGATATCAAACTGGTTTCCAGAATTACAAGTGGAAGAAGAAAGAGAGGGTGTCACTGATGACATAATGCAATGAGATTGCTTTCCAAATGTAGTCTCAACCTTAATAATTTTTAATCAGGTCTCATGTAGTAGAATATTTGTATCATATAAGCACTGGTGATTGTAAGTCACCTTAGCCTAAGTGCCTTTTACTTTGAATAAATTAAAAATGGGAATAACTTCCTTCAAAATTATATAATATTTTAATACTTTGTTTACTGTTATATCCCCCCAAACTACCATAGTGCCTGACACATAGTGGGCCCTCCATAAGTATTTATTAAATGAATTGAATGAGTAGTATATTATACTGTGAACGACATTTTTACAGCTTTATCATTCAACATCATCTGACTCCCTGTTATTTTCCTTCCTAAGAAGATTCTTTTCGGACAATTTAATGATTTAAAAACTCAGAAATCCCAATATATTTGTGCATTTCATGCAGAGTATATTTATCCTTCTGACGTATTTCTCTCTGAGATTTAAAATTAGTGTGCAGAATTAAGTATTCTGGGAAATGTTAAAGACATTTAAAATTACTATATTTAACTATGATTTTTATAAGCAAAATGTATAAACTTTTCTAAACCATTTTTCAAGGTCGTCCTCCAAAACTTACTCAGCCTCCACCTCCTCGGAGCAGCAGTGACCTCAAAAACACTACAGCCCCTCCAAAAATAGCCAAAGGTATGCCTACTTTAAATGTGAGAATTTGATGTTCCCTGGATTTATGGTATAATTTTCCATAAACATATTAAAAGCATTATAAAGTAACTATTTTAATCAAGCTGGTATAGATTAAAGAATAAAAAGTTTTTAAAACTTTTTTCAAGGTCGTGCCCCCAAATTTACTCAACCACTACAACCTCGAAGTAGCAATGAATTTCCTGCACACACAGAGCAAACAACTGCCACTCCTGAAATCAAAAATACCACCATAACTCCAAATGTGACCAAAGGTATGCAAACCCCAAAATTAATACCTGTTCATAGTAGTGAGTTTTTTTGTTTTTAACTTAAGTTTTCAGAAACATTTCCAGCTTTTAAATGCTCAGGATTCTTTCCCTCTGTTTTTTAAGTATTGCAAAAAATTTGATTCCATACCTTATAGAAAAAGCTGGCTGCATTGCTCTAAGTTCTATTATCTGGTACTATGTAAAATGGTTCTTTAAATATTTAGAGATGGCTGCTGTATTCTAGGCTTCCTCTTATGATTTTTTTCCCTCTATAGCTAAATATGTGGAGTCTCAGGCTTAGGAAGATAATTTTTCTAGAAATAACTAAAACCATAGCAGGAAACAAACTTTTTTTCTGATTATACATTAATCTGCTGGATAGGGAACTTGGTAGGATAAAGGGAAGAAGGAAAAAAGAAGTTTTGGTGAAAATACATACTTTTTTTTAAAAAAGGATACTCTGTTAACATTTATTTTAAAAATTTGGTCTCTGTTTTTTAAATGTTTACAGATTTTCAGATTATAAATAGTGTGTTTTTCAATTTACTTTCAAATTTTGCTTTTAATTATTAGTATATAAGGTGTTAACATATATAAAACATAGTAGTTTTTTTATTTTACTAGTTTGAAAACAAAATTTCTGTTGAATTCAGGAACAAAAAGCATCAGTGCCATGGAGGAATTAATTTCAGTGTTGACAGATAAAAAGCACACTAATTTTCAGGACAGTGCAGAGAAGAGAAAGCAGTTCATTCAGAGTAACTTGTGCCACATAGCACTTAATCATTCTCATTTTCTGAAAATTTGCCTGGATTCAGATAACTTTCTACAACTTCCTACATGTCAGTTTCCTTCCTATCTTCTGAAGTATTCCCAAAGAGACCAATTTATTTCTCATGCTGCAGGAAAAGCTAGTATTGACTGAAAAACAAAACCTCACAACCTAGAAGTTGAGAATTATGTTTTATTCAGGGTCTTACTGGGGACAGTAGCCTGGGATACAGCCTCTCAGATTGTTCTGAAAAACTGTTCCAAAGAGGGAGGAGCCAGGATTTATAGGGGTTTATGCTGGAAAAAATGTAGTCAAACATCAAAAAATTACCGCTAATCACAAAAACCAGACGTCTCAAGTTAATGATTTTAGTGCTTTTCTATGTGTGGGAAGATGCAAGAGTCTGAGCTCATTGAAATTATTCATTGATATGTATCTTAACTGTTTAGAGCCAGTATTCTGTTTTTCTCCATCCTGAATTCCCCTCAGGGCGCAGAGTCACGGGGTGGGAGTAGTGGCTGAGGACTTGGTGGCAACTCTTTGAAATGGCAGGGGCAACATTTATTTTGTCCAGTCTAGAGAGAAGCAAGAGTTGACAGAGACGAGAAATTTCAGCATCCCACAAAGAGCTTCTTATCCATTTACAGAAAGCATGCGTTCAGGTGGAATCCCAGACCACATACCCAGATGGAAAAACAGTCATTTAAAAGTGTTGTTCATCTTAAAATCTGATTATAGAATTTTAAAATCTTAGGACTAAAAGGGTTCTTAAAGCATTTTCTTCCGGAACTAGGATCCCTGTAATCTTTAAAATAACAAAGAACATCTAGGTCTTTTTGGTTGAAGACCTCCTGTCTCCTTTTCTTTGGAACAGTAGTATGTAAACTTTTTATTGTTTTTTTGAACCTAAGCATATATTTTAATGCCTCTGAATAAGTCAGACTGTATCCATCTGAACCTGATTATTCTCTCTACAATTTCACAAATTTTAGGGATAAAGCGCATTTGCTTTTCTAATTTCTTAGTCCTTTCTATCCTGAGTCATGATTTCTGTTTTATTCACTTCTCCTTTCTCCATTTTTACATCCAGGCTGAGAGTGATGCTGGTGCAAATCATGTCATGGTCAGATTTGTGCCACTGCTGTAATGTCCAGATCCTCCCTCAGTGGAGCCCTCAGTAGCAGCTGGTGGACTTTCTGTTTCCCTGGTTAGCTCTTTTGTCTGTTCTCAACAGTAGCTGTTTGAAACATTCTCTGTATTTTTCAAACCCTTGACCCAGAGATCCTCAGTCACTCTCAGTTACATCTTCAGCTTCCCAAAGTAGAAGCCATTCAAAGGGCATTTCCTTTTTTGGAGCCTGCATACTCACCTAGTTCCCATCCATACAGCTTCTCAGAGGCCTGGTGTTATTGATTATCCTCTTCCTCCCTGTATCTTTAGCTTCTTTCTCTCTTTGGGTGGGATTATAAGGAGTAAATAAGATGCAGGTCTGGCGCTTAGCACCCAGTAAATAGCAGCAGTTGTTGCTGTTATCACCCTCATGGCCAGGAGGAGGTTGAGAGGTGGAGGAAGAAACTAGTGTCCCAACTGACCTTAAGCAGACCATTTCTGCCCAGGATTCTTTATCTATGGAGTGAGATAAGGGGATTAAGTGATCTCCAAGTCCCTGCAGGCTCCAGCATTGTGTTGGTTTCTGCCTTGTTCGTACACACGTTTGGTTTCTATACTTAATACTATATTATTATCTTCCTGCATCTATAAATATTTTGCCATCACTTCCAATTGCTGGATGATATTTTAATATTATTTTATAAGGATAATATTTTATTATAAGGAGGAGACCATGATTTACTTATTCCCTTTCATTGTTGGGCATTTGGATTACTTACAGTTTTACAGTCTTCTGCAGATACAGAAGCAAACATATTTAAAGATACGTCTTTGAATCCCATCTTAATTTTTTCCTAAGGATAAATTCTACATAGAGAATTGCCAAGTAATAGGTTTTTATAGATATTGCCCCAAAATGCCAATCAGAAAGGTAGTTTCGATTTATAGTCCCATCAAAATCCCTGTTTCCTGATACCCTTTTCAACAATTAGTTGTTCTTTTAAATATTTGCCAATTTGATAAGCAAAAATAGCATCTTTCTGATTACTAGTGAGGTGAACATGCTTAATGGTCACTTGTGCTCTTATTACTAGTGAGGTGAACGTGCTTAATGGTCACTTGTGCTCTTAATGCGTTGCTCTTTCATCTCTGCTGATTTTTCTGTTGTTTATTTTTTACTTGTAAATTCTGTAATAGATTAACTATATTAACCTTTTATCACGTATGCAGAAAATACGTTTTCCCAGTTTATCATTTGTCTTTTAATTTGTCTTGGTGATTTAAAAACTGCAAAGGTGGAGCAAATAATGTGACGCACTTCCATGTATCCATGAAGGCCTCTGCAATTACCACTCGTGCCCACTCTCATTGCATAAATTATGTTTATGGCATTTTTTTGAGATAGAAAAGCTTTGAATGGTGATATGGTTAATATGTACTCTTCTCCTTAATGATCCCTTTGGTATTAATGTGTGTTTTTATTTGTTTGTTTTTGTTTTTCAGATGTAGCCTTGGCCGCCGTCCTTGTCCCTGTGCTGGTCATGGTCCTTACCACTCTCATTCTCATACTAGTGTGTGCTTGGCATTGGAGAAACAGGTTCGTACAAAACTAGTTCACCTAACTGGTCCTAGAGGGGATGTTTCCAAATGTGAAATAGAAACTAAATATAGAAGATGAACTTTTTTGAGAGGGAGAGTTAAGATAGCCATTAGAATAAAAATATATATACTTCTCCTTTATTCCTGTAAAAAATGAGTAAGTTCAATTCCATAATCAGTTACTGAGTACCTTTATTATATCAAATTTTGTATTATACAATGGGTTACACACATCAGTAAGATATAATAGATACTTAGTAGCACTTTGAAAGAATGAGACACAATTATTATCTCCAGATTGTTTAGCAGGGTTGACCACTATACTTTGGCATGATGAGTTGTATATGAAGTGCTGGGGAACACAGACGTAAGAACCATGAGAATTACCTGAAACCTTTTTTTCAGAAAAGAGTGTTCCTCAAATTTGGCATGGTTTGCCTTAAAGGAGGGATTACATTTGGCGAGATAGAGGAAGAGAGAATGGCCCAGATGGATGGGATGGCTTGCAGGAAGGCACAGAGTTGTGGAATGTAGGCAGAACAGTGAGTCATCCCACAGGGGCTTGGCGTGCGGGAGCGCTAGGAGACCCATAGAAATGCAGCCTGGACCTGGGACCAGGAAGGACTTTCTGTAGATGGGGAAATCCTTGAGCAGGGTTCAGCGGACAGGTGATATTATCAGATGATTGTAGAAAAATGGTGGCAGGAGGGTGGATTGAAGAGGAGAGAGAGACTAGAAGAGGCAGAGAGATGAGGTTGGAAACTTTTAAGGCCACACAGGAACATGACACAGCAATTCTAGGAAAGGGAGAGACTTGGAGGGGGAGAGGGTTCCCAGAGGCGTCAGTGCAGGGCTTGACTGGCCACTTGCTAAGGAAGGAGGAGGATCTAAGTTTCTCTCACGTTTCTGGCTTGTGCAGTTGACCGGTAGAGATGGCGTGAGTAGAGGTAACAGGGTAGGAGGGACAGATTGGTGACTGACAGCTTTGGAGGGACTTCATTTGTCTAGCCATCCAACAGATATTTGAGCCTCCTACTCCCTGCCAAGTATTGAGCCGTGTGCTGGGAGTCCAGTGGTGAACCCCAGAGTCTATGGATGGGAGAGGATACTCTGCAGAAAACCTTCCACCGTGGAACCTGTTTGTTGCAGGGCCCAGCAGTAAGGGCAGGTAGGGATCACGGGATTGGAGATAAAACAGTAGCCAATATTCAACTCACGACTCACTCGGTTTACTATACATAATTAGCGCACAACACAGGTTAGGCAAAGTGTGGGGGGGGGGGGCAGGGGAGGAGGGTGTAAACGAACCACTCCAAGGAGAAGCCTTGAAGGAGGCATCTCAGCACCAACAGCAGCACATGACAAGTGAGAGTGGGAAACCACCCCGGCTCCAGCAGGGCCGCAGGCGGCCTCCATCTGGAACAGCTCTCAGCAGCATGGGGGCCTCCAGCCAAGATCCTTCAGGTCACTCTGTTCAATGGTCTCCTCTTAAGGAATAACTGTTACCCCAGGGGAAGAGTCTGGACTCCTTCAGTTGCTGTCTGTTCCCGTGCCATACATGGCCCATCAAACTTCTTGTCTAAAGTAATATTCTCAGTTTATCATTCGAGGACACTGGCAGTCCTACAGTGGATGTTTCAAAACAACTCATAGGCAAGTTCGTGTTGGCCACTGGGACTCCATTTTGAACTACGTAACATGTCTTAAGTAGCTTAAATCCTCTAAGTTTCACCCAAGATGAGTAGGAATCATAACCGTACCAACCACAGTTTGTTCCACGGGTGGAAGGAAGCTGGAGGAGGCGTGGGTCCCGGATTCCTGGTGTTGGGGGGCTGTCTGTACAGAACTGACAACTTAGCATGAGGGCATGAGGCGGGGGAGGAGGGAACAGGGCTCTGGGAGAGTCCAGGAAGGAAAGTTCACGATGCTTTCAGGGAACCGGACAGCAACAGTGGTAGTGGTGAGAACAGTAGCAACGGCAGTTGCATAGAAAATAAAACGAAATGCTGGTTTTACACATTTTTCTAAATGCCTTACGTGTTTTAACTCATTTAATCCTTAAAACAACCTGTGAAGCAGGTGTTGTTATAAATCCCATTTTATAGAAGAGGAAAGTGAGACTGAGAGAGCACAGGTAACTTGTCTGAGGTCACCTGGTCAGCACATGGCAGGGTGGAGATTTGGTCCAGGCTTCAGAGCCCGTGCTGTTAGCCGCTGCAGCCTCTGATCAATCGGCAGTTCAAGTCTAACTACTCTGCCGTTAAAGCCCCAGGGCATGGGCGTGAGGACAGGGGAGTAGAGCTGTTGAGAGGCAGGAGGCAAGTCCTGAGATCAGTGTGGGATGACGTTTAAAGGACTCTGGACATTCAGACTCCCAAGAGGCAAGATGGAACATGAGCCTGTTCAGGACAAAAGGTCTGAGCTGCAGAATTGAGGTTACTTCTACAAACGTAGTGGATGAAATTGCTGACGACTGGCTTTGTGACAAGGAGTAAAGAGGAAGCGCCGTTAAGGGGCTTATGGAAAATAGCCAGGAGAAAAGTAATAATAAAAACAGCTGCAAGTTACTGAATCCCTAACCTATGCAGGGCACTGTTCTAAGTACTTTACATGTAACGAATAAATCACCTGCAGCTTTGTCACTGGAGATCAAGAATATGAAATCCTTTATAGTACAACCCTTGGACAGCTTCAGCACCTACCATCTCGTCCACAAATTTTACGCTATACCTTACTTTGAAATAATGAAGTATTATATTTTAAATACAGCCAGACTTTAAAATGAGGGAGCTTTTAGTATCAATAATAAAAACATAGTCTTATACTAGAGAAGAATGTTTCGAAGCAGGAAAAACACATAGCTTGGGCTCTTTGAGAAAGCCCCACTTGTGATCTTCAGCAAGTCACATAACCCTCTTTTCCTCGTTGACAACACTAGAAAAACTTTCTCCTTAGCTTGCAGCGCATTATTTTAATTAGCTGTACGTCAGAAAATGTCCTTTTGTGTGCTTGATTTTTTTCTTTTTAAAAGGCTTACGGTAGATAGCAATTCTTAATGTTGGGGAGGGACAGAAGTTTCTCCAGGGGAGGATGTGTCAGAATTCTGAGGAGCAGGCTGGGGGAGAACGTTCTTCGTTGCACACGTGGCCCTCGGTCCCCTCACTGTTAGTGACAGCGTTGGCTTATCTTGCACATGGTAGAGGAATCAGGTCTATGCAGTTAAGGGTGTGTGACACTTTAAACTTCTCAGCGGCAAAGGACTGTAGAAAAAAAGTAAGTTGGAAAAAAAAGTAACAATGTAGAAGAAAATATGGGGGTTTTGTTGCTTTTGTTGTATCCTGTGAACTTTGTGAATTGACTGATTTGTGAAATTTGTATTTGAAACCAAAACAAACCTAACATGATTTCCCCAGAATAATCCACGTGTCAGGCTTGGGTCTTTGATTTGATTCAAGGTTTTTATCTACATAGTCTTTTTTTTTTTTTATCCCTTTATCCATTTGAGTGGAAAATAGTTGGGTAACAAGATAACTGTCTCAGGAGATAGTTGTTTAATATTTATTGAGAGTCCAGAATTCATGAGCCTCAGCAGTGGCAACTTCAAAAGTCAAGTGAAAGAGGTCTCCCAGGGAAATCAGCAAGTAGAAATGTGTACTCTTGACTAATTATTAACTTTGGTGTTTATCCTGCAGTTTCAGAGCTTTCTTACTAGTGAACTCACTCTATTTGGTATCTTTTTTTTTTCTGTATTTTCCAGAAAGAAAAAAGCTGAAGGCACCTATGACTTACCTTACTGGGACCGGGCAGGTAATTTGTGGCTTTACATCTCTTTCCATCAGAGGGAAGCCTCTGCCCTCCAGCTGGCAGCAGTGAAAGAGGAAAGCCATTTTCAGGCCCACGTAAACTCCCCAGCACTGTTAGAAAAAATGGCATTCCTCTTCTGTTCTGATCATTTTTACTTTTCTATAAAATCTCTAGTCTCTAAGTAATGAAATGGGAAGTAAGAATTTCTCATAACACATGCTCTGTTCTTTTCCTTTTGGAAAACTTGTCTGGTTTGTCCCATGTATGTCTCGGTCTTGAGGAGACCAGCTTTCTGTGTGGTGTTCGTGAACACTAGGTCAGAAGCAGAGGATTGCAGCCCTGGTGACACAGTGTGTGTGTATGTGTGTGTCACTCTGCTGTGGATATTTACCGCAGTGGAGTTCAGCGTTTTACGAGTCAGTGAAGTCTGCTATCTCTGCCATGAGTTGTCATCTTCCGAATTCCTACTCTCTGTGGCAGGTGGCAGGTTGCTGCAGGTGACACCAGAGGCCTTCTGCGGGCGGGTCTCCCACTTCCCAGTCTCACCACTGGAGTGACTGTTAGGGGTCAAAAGAATTCACTGTGACGAGGGTAGAAAAGAGCAGTGATGGGGGCAGGTCTTGGGCTGCTACTTCTCACCGTCGTCCCCCTGCCCCCCACAGGGTTGATCTTAGAATTTTTTAAGCTTATTAAAACTTATTAAAGACCACTGCTATAACAAACTATATCTGGCTGCACTATAATAGCCGTGATTTGCTTCAGTATATGCTTTTGATAGAGATTTCTACTGTGTTCTGCTTTGCACTGGATAGTCTTATCAAAGCAAAAAATAAGTTTGAACAACTTAAGGAACTAGAAAAAGAAGAACAAACTAAACCCAAAGCTATAGGGAAGAAGGAAATAGTAAAAGATTAGAGGAGAGGAACAAAATAGAGAATAGGAAGCAACAGAAAACAACAAGTGTTGGCAAGAATGTGGAGAAACTGGAACCCTTGTGCACTGTTGGCAGGAATGTAAAATGGTACAGCTTCTGTGGAAAACAGAATTTTTTGTCAGTTCCTCAAAAAATTAAAAATAGAATTACCATATGAACCAGCAATTCCACTTCTAGGTATATACCCAAAAGCATTGAAAGCGGAGTCTTGAAAAGATATTTTTACATCCATGTTCATAGCAGCGTTATTCAGAATAGTTAAAACATGGAAGCAATCCGGGTATCTATCCACCAATAAATGGATAAGCAAAATGTGGTTATACACATAAAATGGAATATTAAGCCTTAAAAAGGAAGGAAATTCTGCAATATATACTACATCGTGGATGAACCTTGAGGCAATTATGCTAAATGAAATAAGTCAGTCGCAAAAAGAAAAATAGCATATGATTCCATTCATACGAGGTACTTAGAGTACTCAAAATTATAAAGACAGAAAGTAGAGTGGTGCTTGCCAGTGGCTGAGGGGAAGAATCAGGAATTACGGTTTACTAGGTATGGAATTTCAGTTTCACCAAGATGAAAGTTCTGGAGATGGACGGTGGGGAGGGTTGCACAACAATGTGAATATGTGTTTAATAACACTGAGCTGTTCAACTGAAAATGGTTCAGGGCGTTCCCCAGCGGCCTAGTAGTTAGGACTCCAGGCTTTCACTGCTGTGGCCCTGGTTCCATCCCCGGTCGGGGAACTGAGATCCTGCAAGCCGTGCAGCGTGGCCAAAAAAAATGGTTAAGATAGGAAATTTTATGTTGTGTGTATTTTACCACCAGAACAACCACCAAAGAAACCAAAAAACCTTGAACACAAAGGCTGGTTTGTATAAATATTTGTTATAGAAATGGCTTAAATGCAACAGGATTTCTCCCTTCATATACTGTTATCATTTCAAACATGGCTTTCTATGTAATGGTCTCTTTTACTTACGATCACAATGAAGGTTGGTGGAAAGGAATGAAGCAGTTTCTTCCTGCCAAATCAGTGGAGCACGAGGAAACCCCAGTTCGCTACAGCAGTAGTGAAGTGAATCACTTGAGTCCTAGAGAAGTCACCACGGTGCTGCAGGCTGACTCTGCAGGTAACTAGTGCAGCCACCAGGGGAAGGAGAAGCTGCCGCGCTCACTGTAAAGTGCTGTGAGATTTGCAGTACCCTTTATCTGTTTCATGTATAGGAGATGAGCTAGTTTCCAAACATAGAACCACTTTTTAAAAAGACCTCAAGAGAGTCATTTCTGTGTCTTAGATGTTCTATCCATAAAATTGGGGTACTCATTTCTAAAAACTTTGGGCATTTTGTCTGCTTACCTGAAATTCCGTTTGGTTTTATTGGGCCTTTGGGGGTTTTAAAAGGAGAGCAGGAAAGGCACAGTGGCCTCACAGTATTTATCCTATTAACCTAGAATACATTTTAAACATTTCCTAATATTTGAAAAAGAAAAAAAAATCTACGAAATTATTTTCCAAGACGAATATTATTTCAGTAATGGAATATTTATTTTCCAATGAAGTACTGTCTATAAATCTGAAGAACATATACACTCTTTATGCAGACTTCCATGAATGAAGCTTTCTGGCACATCGACTTATTACCACGAGATATAGGGTAACGTCTTTAGTTTTAATTTTTGAAGTTAGTTGTTGCGGGAAGACCCATCAGTCTCCGTTGATAACAAACGTGCCATAAAGAGGTGTTTGTTTTCGGTGCAAGCCTGCAGCTGCCACCCTGAATTATAGGATCCCTGCCTTAATGAGATAACTTTTCTGTTGTCTATGTTTTGCGATACCCACAGAGTATGCACAGCCACTTGTGGGAGGAATTGTTGGCACACTCCATCAGAGATCTACCTTTAAACCAGAGGAAGGCAAAGAAGCAGGCTATGCTGACCTAGACCCTTACAGCTCCCCTGTGCAGGAAGTCTATCATGCCTATGCTGAACCACTCCCGGTTACTGGGCCCGAGTACGCAACCCCAATTGTCGTGGATATGTCCGGGCACCCCACAGCTTCGGTTGGCCTGCCCTCAGCGTCCACTTTCAAAGCTGCAGGGAACCAACCTCCCCCTCTGGTGGGAACATACGACACTCTTCTCTCCAGGACTGACAGCTGCTCCTCAGCCCAGGCCCAGTATGATACGCCAAAAGGTGGGAAGCCGGCTCCAAGTGCCCCAGACGAGTTGGTATACCAAGTGCCACAGAGCGCACAGGGGGCATCAGGAGCAGGGAGGGCTGGCGAGTGTGGTGTTTCTAAAGAAGCCCTTTGAAGGTGATGCTGCCTTTTACAAAGCATCATTTTAAAGCACATGGCCTTTTTAAAATTGTATTAGTGGTAGTAATATATAGAACGTATTACATATCTGTCACGGACGTGGTTGGGGGAAATGTGATGACCGAGGTACAGGAAACTACTAATCTTGCCATCTTGCTTTAAAAGTGTTACTGTAGCACAGTTACTGCTTGCCTATTAAATTTCAAATATCCTGTTTGTTACTACTGTAAAACACTATTTTATACAGAAAAAGCTCCCTACTATGCACTTCAAAGAAATTAAAAATCACTGAGAGTATTTATTACCAGTGCTGCAGTTACATTGATGAACTCGAGATGGCTCTGTAAGCCTTTCTGGCAATAACGCACGGTACTGTTATAAAATGTCTGATGGCTTGAAATTCTGCTCTTTGTGAAAGGTGGGTACTATCATGACTTCTTCCTCTTCTATTCCTATATTGCTTTCTGAATTTTTTTTTAAAATAGTGACATAATCCTTGTTTTGATTGCAGTCATATATACTTATCCATCTTTCCTTAGGAAGAGCTATAGCTGGGAAACTGACCTGTAGTGAGCAGTGATTTTTCACTTTCTGACACTCTAACGAGCTTTAACATTTCATAGTACATAACTTGGCCTCATCCCTGCTTGTTCCACCTGGGGCCCTTGGTGGCCAGCCCCGTTCTTGTGTTTATAAATGCTTGAGTTTTTTCAGTGGGTGATGCTTGCTGTATCAACCTCATTATTTCAGATCCCCTAATGTTTCCATGTGGAAACAGGAACAACTTTACAAATTAAAAATGCTGTAAAGGAGATTCTCCCGCCGCGAACTTTACTTGCAATGGAATTTTTCCTAGGAGAGTTGTGAAAAGTTGAGGGTTTCTAAAAGTGAACACTAAACAATACCCACTTATATTTATCACGGTGAAAGGCAAAATCATGACTCCTCGGGAGTCATATAAATTACCACCCCCCGCCGCCAAAAAAAGTAACCGAATTTGTCCTCTTTGGTTTTATGTATACAGGTTATTCTTTGAATCTCAAGGTAATTTGTTGTTTTTAGTCAAATAAAGAAATACTTGTTTTCCACAGTAAACTACTATAAGAAATGTAATCCCAGCATGTATTCTTCAGCTCTGTGTGATTATGCCATCTATGTGGTAGGGGGTGCAGTCCTTTATATTATACCTAAGGAACAAATGTTTCAGCATCCTAGCAAGGGAAAATTCCTGTCTTGTTTTTGGTACTTCTGGGCAACTTCTTTGTCACCATTTGCCCAGAACTAGTTTAAATGACTGAAATAGAAACCATGTGCAGTTTATTAGCGTTAGTGTAGAAACCATCTTTAAAAGTCTTTAGACTGGTAAGATGATATGGAAGCTGACCATGATTAAAATATAGAAACTTGGCATCCCCTCTTCTATCAATCAATATAAACCTTAGTTTGCAGACTTAATATTGAAATATACTTCCCCATCAGGTTCTAGTTGTTTCTTTCAGCCTGTGCCACCAGATGATGGCAGAATATGCTAAATTTGACTAACGATGTACAGTGTTCATTTTGCTTGCTTCCATGAGTCTATCAGTATTGTAAAACGTTGCTTCAAAACAGAACTGCCTATTTCTACGGCCTCCCTGCCTTCTAGTTGTATGATTTTCTTGGTCTTATTTTCAGTGGCTTTTCCTTTTTTCCAACAGACTTTTGAGGCATAATTCACTGAAAAACCAATACACATTTTGTTTCAAAATATTTGAAACAAAAAGCACAGATGTTGAACTTTTATTAAAACCTATGAATGTGTGAAGCACATGTATTAATGCAGTCATCCCCTTTCAGGTGGGAAGAGAGTAAACCAATTGCTTTATTTTTTTATTCGTCCTTAGTATACAAAAATATACTTTTTCTCAAATCATATGCCTGTTTGAAGCTTTAAGAGAAATGATTTCAGTAACTATTTCATTTTTCCAAAGATGCTTGCTATTTTTGTTTGTGTATACCTGATTGTTTTCCCATAGAACTTTTTTTTTGAGAAGCAAATGTCTTCTTAAATAATGCATGTTTTAAGACTTGATTCATATATTGCCACTGTGCTGTTTTTGAACTACCAATAATTTTTATAAAATACTTAGTTTTTAACTACTATTATATATTTTACTTTCCAAATGAAGAGCTGAGCCTGATACAAAGGGTTGTACTGGTTTGTACTTTTTCTTTTAATTCGTATGTTTTCATATTAGAGTTTTGTTTTGGGTTGTTTTTTTTTTCTAATGTTACTATGTCTGCTATATATACAGCTTTGGAGACAATCAAGTAACAACTGAAAATGTGAAAGTAACCATTTTTTACAAAATTCCCTTGGAATTTTTATTCTTTGCTTGAAACATGTAAAAGATTTAACTCACTGTGGCTTATTGGATTAAATTCTTTCCTGTTAATGCAGTTACAAAAGTAGAATCAGACAGTGGTGCAGGAAATGTGGCCCTTAAGGTTTCATAAAATTACACTGGCTTAGCTGTTACTTGATCTTGGGAACCGGCACAGTTAAAGGGAAGATATTGTGAATGCTGATTTATATTTTATTGAAAGCTGTAAATCTAAATAGATCCTATTGCGTATGCAGGGTCTAGCCCAGTTATTTAAGTTCACGTTTCACTGTTTGCACTTTGTATTGAACAATGGGTTTATTCGCTGTTGAAATGGTTCGAGCAGAGGATTTATTCGGTAACTGAAATTAGGATGTTACTTATACACTTGCCCTCCCCCCCCACACCCCCCCCCCCACCCTCGCACTGGAGGGAGCAGAAAATGAGCTCGTTTAAATATGAATGTGGCTGTAATTCTATGGAATGTGATAAAGCTTGAACTTCTTTCCCTGGGCTCCACATTGTTACCTGGAGAGCAAGAGGGTTACAGAAACACCATGTCAGATAATACAATTCGAAAGAATGAATAGATTAGGTGGGACAATAAAAGCTTTTCAGCCCCTCTTAAGAGAAATCAATGAAGCTCTCTGCTTATTAAAAAAAAAAAAAAAATTACCTACTGGCTCTGCCTTTCAGTTCTGAACTTGAAGTCCCTAAACTGCAAAATCTAAGGAAGAGTTGGATACTTTTAGGTCAATTGTGGCACCAGTTCTCATTTAATCCAACTTGTGACTAGTTTCTTCTCATCTCCTCCTCTTCTTTTTTGGCACTGGGAAAGGTAGAAACAAAACATGTATTGAAATACGTATTGGAAATAAAAATGGCTTGAGTGTCAGTGATATTCTCCCAGAATGTACTTTTCTTACCTCGGCATGTACTGTAGTCACTCAGTATTTGTATATGTTGCTAGAATTTAGACTGTATAAATAGTGAGATTTTAATGTGTTCATGTGTTTTTAATAAATTGTATATATGTCTTGTTCAGGTTTTTTGTTTTTTGCTTAAATAAAACAACCTTGAGGTTTGTAACCTTTCTCATACCATGCAAAATGCCAGATCCCTCAATTTTAAGATCAGGTTTTTATGGCCAATATTATAGTACTTACAGTAACATTTGAAAATGCCACCATTGGGGGGTTTTGGGGGTTTGGTTTTTTGTTGTTGTTGTTTTTATAAATTCATTTATTTATTTTTGGCTGCGTTAGGTCTTCGTTGCTGCGCGGGGGCTTTTCTCTAGTTGCAGTGAGCAGGGGCTAGCCGTGGATACGGTGCGTGGGCTTCTAATTGCGGTGGCTTCTCGTTGCAGAGCACGGACTCTAGGCGCGTGGGCTTCAGTAGTTGTGGCGCGCAGGCTCAGTAGTTGTGGCACATGGGCCTAGTTGCTCCGCGTCTTGTGGGATCCTTCCCGGACCAGGGCTCGAACCCGTGTTGCCTGCATTGGCAGGCAGATTCTTACGCACTGCACCACCAGGGAAGTGCCTACCGTTGGTTTTTGACATTGACTTTTTCTGTAGCCAGCACCATCCTTTCTGAAGCCCAAATTACTTTACATCAAACTCAGCTTCAGCAGCCCAGCTGCAGCCTATGGCTGTGTGGTATGAGGGAACGATCACATTGAACAGCAGTGCCTTTTCCACCTCAAAGAAGAAAAATCAAACGAGACTGGTACGGTGCAAACAAACATATGCTGGGATTAACAGAACAGAGTCCATATTTATTGCCTAGGTCTGGGTTAATTCAGCTACTAGTTTTGTCCCCCTTACACCACTTTCAAGTATGTCAGTCACTTATTTCTGTTTCTGATCTAATAGTATTTATACACTCTCTTTAGAGATGCAGGCTAGTTAGTGATAATTATCATTGTCTCCCAGTGATAATTATTGTTCAAGAGATGCCAGTTCTTTCCACTCCTACCTCTTCTGACAGCTCTTGATTCCAGCCTTATAACCTCCACTGTTCGCTTCACCCCTTGTCCCCCTCCCTCCCCATAGCCTTTGGTTATAGTCAGACATTAAAATGAAAAGGGAGACGACTAGCTCACGACTTTTGTCCAACTGGCTTGTTTGCATCCCACAACAGTCTTCTCTGGTGCACCCTAGGTAAGCTTTCCATTTGAAGATGCGATTTAATCATGTGGACAATTGGTTTTTCATGAAAATGACACTTAAATCCAGAAAAAGCTTGACTCTTCTTAAAGGTTTACTCATTCATGTCTTTCCTAATTTACTTCCAATAAACTTTGAAATTTTAATGAATAAATTAAACCAGGCAAAAAATGTTTTAAGAATTTTCTCCTTCTTGAGCTTGCCTAGTTCAGCTTCTTTGTATAAACTTTATTTCTTTAAAATAATGCAGTCACCAGATTTTAGGAATTGCATTCTTTCTTTGGTTATTTACTTATCCAGAGTTTCATATTTATCCTATTTCTTTCGACTTAAAGAACATCTTCATTCTACCAAACTACTCATCATAATCATGGTTTAACTTAACTGTAGGAAAAAAATGCTTAATTAAGCCAGTATGATCTTAGGTTTCCCTAATCATCCATGCTTAGGGTCTGGTTTAAGATTCCAGCCAGGTTCCTCAGGTAGAACAAAAAGGAACCAAACAATCATCCAGAGAGAGCTACAGAGGCCTGAGGTGGTTCCAGTATGCCACATTAAAGGCACCGCTGCATGCCAGCTCCCCACCAATTTACAGGAGGCAGATAAACCTCTCAGAATGTCACGTTACATTCAAAATCTGCTGTGGTAAACTAAATCCCCTTACTTATTAGGAAGTCACATCCCTTCAGAAGTCTAAGATAAAGTAACTATAAAAAGATGCTTAAAAACACCTCAGAAAACTAGCTTATTTTTAAAACAATGCAATGAAAAATTCACTCTCCCTGATAGCTTAGCATGTCTTGGTTTCCATAAATTAAATATATTCACAGAAATTAAGCTGGTGGTTATGAAGCACCAGGCAGCAATAGACTTTATATAATTTCTTGACACGTACATCCAACATATTTAAAAATAAACTAAAAATTGCAGTGTAAAAATAAAACTAATACTGTTCGCATCATCTTCGGAGTCTGTAGGGTCAATCTTGAGTCAAGTCGATTACAAAGTTTTTTTCTATAATGTCCTTCAAAAAGAGCTGCTCTGCAGTCACATTGTGATACGCATTCTAAAGAAGAAAAATAAAATAAAATCACCATCTATCCCAATCTCAAAATGTTAACAACAGCAGCAACGGAATATGCTGTATCTAAAAACCTTAATTAAAAACTCAAGTAACAAGTGGCATGGATTTTTAACTTATCTTTCTCATTTCTTTTTCATTGCTCATTCTTGTGCCAGAGCTTTCCCTAAAGCCCACTCTTTCCACTTAAACCATCACATAAGTAAGAGGCTCCCTCACGTCATCTTCTAGTCTACTGAATTATGGTATAAATCTAGAAATCAGAATTTGAAGGTGTTAAGCTCTAACCTGAATAATACCACTTTTTCAGCTTATATAGTATTTAGGGATGAAGATTTAAGGGGACTGGTTTCATGTCGTGGGGTATATCCACATACTTAACAGCAAATCATTCACAGTTCAATATTTAAAATGTACAGGTAACATTTTAATCCTATCACTGTGTCACTAATCTAAGTTATAATCAGGAAAATAGGAAATTCCTTCCCATTTAATCAATTAAAGTCAAAATCTTAAGGATCAAATCCACCACCATTAATCCCCATTCAAGAGAAGAATGATCTAGTATAAAGGTTTACAACTTTTCTGACCGTGAAGATTCTTTCATGAGGTTAAAATGTTATGGACCTTCTCATCGACTTAACTGAAAAACTACATGAAAATAATTTGTATGATTATGGCCATGCTTTTAGGTGAATTTGAAATATCTCAAACAGCAGGTTTCTACATATTCAAATAGTGCAAATATGATACAGTATCTAGGGTAAGGCTTGGTCCCTATATAGGTTTGATGAGTTTCTCCCAGGGGTTTGAGGCCAACAGATTGGGAGCTGTAGCAAGAACTCTGGACCTGAGTCCTAATTTCAGCACATGCTATCTCTGTAAACCCTTATCAAGCCGTCATCCCCTCAAAACCTGTTCCCTCAGTAAAATGACAGGGTGAAAAGGGAGAATGTAAGCTTTCCAACTCTAAAGATCAAAGATTATACCAAAGTGTGTGTGTGTGTGTGTGTGTGTGTGTGTATACACACACACACACACACACACACACACACTCATA